TGATGTGTGACCCCACCTCATACAGCCCCACCACTCCACAGCCATGTGTGGGCTGCTCCCCCCACAGCCGCTGGCTTCTGTCCCTTAGCAGAGCTTCCCTGTATTCATCAACCCTCATTCCTCTTTTCTCCCACACTATGCTGTCTGCCGCATTCCCTCTTTTTCCCTTAATAATTCCAACATTTCCTGGCTGGTATGTTTTTCACAGAATCATAGAATTGCTCAGGTTAGAACACACCTTAAAGATCACCAAGTCCAACCACAACTTCACCATCCTACCCTAACTAACAGCCCTCCACTAAATCATGCCCCTGAGCACCACATCCAAGTGGTTTTTAAATACATCCAGGGATGGTGACTCAACCACCTCCCTGGGCAGCCTATGCCAGTGCTTCACAACCCTTTCTGTAAAGAATTTTTTCATGATATCCAACCTAAACTTACCCTGGCACAACTTGAGGCCATTTCCCCTCATCCTGCCACCTGTCACCAGTGAGAAGAGACCAGCCCTGCTCTCGCTGTAAGCACCTTTCAGATACTGGGAGAAAGCAATAAGGTTTCCCCTCAGCCTCCTTTTCCCCAGCCTGAACAGCCCCAGTTCTTTCAGTCTCTCCTCATAGGCCGTATTTTCCAAGCCCTTCACAAGCCTTGTTGCCCTTCTTTGGACCTGCTCCAGCACCTCCATGTCCTTTCTGTACTGAGGTGCCCAAAACTGAACACAGCACTCGAGGTGAGGCCTCACCAGTGCTGAGTACAGGGGCAGGGTGACTTCCCCAGTCCTGCTCACCACACCATTCCTGATCCAAGCCAGGATGCCATTGGCCTTCTTGGCCACCTCGGCACACTGCTGGCTCCTATTAAGCCAACTGTCCATCAGTACATCGAGGTCCCTTTCCATCAGGCAGCTTTCCAGCCACTGCTCCCCAGGCCTGTACGGTTGCCTGGGGTTGTTGCGACCAACAAGCCGTGCAGAGCCGCGTCCCACAACCGCGCCCTGTGGCTGCAGCGGGGCGGACGGCCTGCAGAGCGCGGCCGGGCGGGACAGCCGCGTTGTAGAAGCGCAGGGGAATCGCTCCGTACGTACGACCTCCGTCCTGCACCGCCCGTTCCCTCCTCTCCCCGCATTAACGTGCCGGGCGCCGGCAGCCGCTCCCACAGCGCCCCACGGCCTCGCAGCGCCCCCCGGCCCGCACATGCCCTCGGGCACCGCGGGAGGAACGCCGGCCCGGTCCCGGCCCCTCTCGCTCTCACGGCGGACGAGAGGCGAGCGGACAAGCACACCGGCGGCCGCACCACCCGCCGCCCCGCTCGCACTCACCGGCCGACAGATCCCTCCGCGCACCCGGGCCCCGCCCCTCCCCAGCGCCGCGCGCGGCCGTGTGGGCCGAGGGGCGCGCGCCCCCTGCCGGCTCCGCGGGAGGAGGGCGGTGCCTGGCGCTGCTCTGCCCGCCCCTTCCTGCCCTTTCTGAGGGGAGGCCCCACGTGGCGCGCGGTCCGCTGGCTGTCCCACAAGGAGGGGAGTGCGGCCTAAAGGTGGCCGAGGGACTGCCTTGGGCGGCAGGCGCGCTCGAGCCCTTCTTCCCGCAACTCCGGTGCTCCGAGAGGCTCCAAAACAGCCTCACCTCGACTAAGTGATTCACAGCTTAGAGATGAGCCGCATAAAACCGCACGGCCGTCTCCAGAGCTGGATGTGCCCAGAGGCGCCGCTGTTCCGAGGCACCGCTGGAGCGCTCCGATACGCAGCGTTGTGCTGAGCGTTGGAGGGCTCAGCTCCGGCCCTGCTGCAGCGCACTGCCATCTCAGTGCTGGGGAGGAATGTCAACACCGAGGGACAGGGACCTGACTGCGTGCTGCATTCCGTGCAGCTTTGTTTTAGGTGGAAAAAAAAGGTGCTCAGAGGGCTGATAGAATTGAAGAATGGAAGGGTAAAGGAGGCTGTGCAGCCACTTCTGATGGGTGCGGCTCCCTGGAGCACCAGGCCCTGCTGCCACCGATGGCTCCTCCTTTCCAAAGGGTCACAGAATCACGCACAGCTCTGCAGGCCTTTTGGCTTTGCTGTAAGGCACTGCTTGGAGCTGCTTGAACCTGTGATAGGTGATGGTGGCAGGAAAGCAGAGATGCTGGAATGATCCTTTGCAAAGGAAAACTGGTTATGTTTTTCAGAACTGCTTCTCTGGGGACATGAGAGCAAATCAGCCACCAGTGTGGGAACACCAGTCATGTGAACCCTACAATATAGTTATTGTATATGCTTTGTTGTTTCTTAATCCTTTTTTTGCAGAAGTTGCCCAAAGGTAAGCTATCTACCCCTGCCTTGTCAGTCACAGACAGTTTTCTTGGAAACAATGATGTGGACATCCCTGAGACTCCTGTCTGACCATTCAGACCACTGCTGCTTCACTGACACATCAGCAAGTGCTTTGTGTTGGAGCAGCTCAGGACCAAAGCACACAGCAGTTTTTAAAAAACAATTTATACACTGGAAAGCAATAGCCACTTGCTGCTAATCAGGATTTTGTGTTTTCACGTTTGGGCTTATTTTATAGTCCACCACATTTTGTCTTTACTGATGGAAGTCGTGCTTAACAGCTATTTTCCCAAAAACATTGATGTTTTTAGCAATGGCAAACCAAGTGCACATTTCAGTTGGAAGACAACCAAGCACGCAGTACTTAAATATAGACGGACTGCTTCTAGTGATGCAGACACAAAACACAGCATGCTCTACCAGTGGGGTACTCAGTGTACATCACCTGGGCCCCGCAGCACAGGTTACTGTTGGCCTTTAGGAGCTCTCAGTCATCCTCTGAATTTTCAGTGCAGTAGGAAGGAGGTTTCAACCTCAGCCCGTTTATGGACTCTCAGTTCTCTCTCATGGATGTGCAAATATTATATGTGATCACGATGACTTCTCTTTTATCAGACCTTGTAGAGCCCTTGCACATAATTCATGGGCCACAAAGAGGCTACAGACCTCAGATGGAAAAGCATTTGGGAGAAATCTAATGGTGCTGATGTTTTAAATGGATTTTAGATGACAGAATTGTAGGGGCTGGCAGGGACCTCTGGATGTCATCCACTCCAACCCGCTGCTAACGCAGGTTCATGCAGTAGGTCACACAGGGAAGCATCCATTTAAAAAACAACAAAATCAAACAAACAACAAAACAACCCCCCACCCTGAAACGGGATGACCATTACCTCTGTACTTTTTATATATCAATTGATTTTACTGTGCCACATCGTCCCCAATTTGTGCTGTGCTCTCTCTCAATAGAAGTTATGAGATATATATACTGACATCCTAACTTGATGGATCTTTGTGGCCAGGGCCTTCTCACATTCATTTTTGTTTCCCCCCCCAAAAGATGCAATCACTCTGCCATCACAAGAAGCAGGAAGGAAAATATATAAAATATATTTAGCAAAACCAGTAAAATTAAAGTAGAACAGAAAATGCAGTCAAGTAGCAAACATTATGTACAGCAGCGGTTTTACAGTTTGTCCTATGCATACCTCCATACTTATTTCACATACGCTTCTTAAGGAGAAGGAAGAAAACAGAAACAAGCTTTTATGACAGAACGCATATTTTTCCTGAACAGTAAATGGGGTTTATCACTGCTTTTGCAGGTCCAATTCAGATTTTGTGTATGTATGTTTCAGCAAAATAAGAGGACACCATTCTCTCAGTCCCTAGATTAAAATGACACCGTCCTCCTCCTGCAGACCACACCGGTATCTCACACAACAGTTACACTCACAGCATCTAGACATTATTTGTCCATTTCCAAGGATGTAGGTAACAAACAACCAAGATACAAAACAGGTATCTAATTTTTCCAGCTTTCCTGAGGCTGAGTGAAATGTTCACATACATGTGCGCTTAGCAAAATTCCATGTTACAGTACATTTTTAACAGTAGTTTGTTAAACCATGAAAGTGCATAACAGCCTACAAGCAGGCAGAAAGTACTTCGGAACAGTCTCTCCTTGCAGTGGCAGAATGCCAGCCTTCCCCAGAGGAGTGCTGGTCTCGTGAGAGGACATCAGTGTCTTCCTAAAGACTCCAAAGTGTGGCGATGGGCTTTGGTTTCTGTTACAGCAAGCATGGTGGAGCAAAGCAGCACTACAGGTATTGGCGCGGTACTAAAACTAAAGGCAATGTCTTGCCAAGTTATCGCCGATTATGGAGGAACCTTTCAAGTCAAGCACTGGTGAGTCTGTAGGACGTGGTAAACAGCACGGTGACAGATTGGGAGCGACCTGAATACATCATGAACCCAAACTGTGAAATCCACAGCAATGAGTTACAGCAAACCAGTCACGAGTGGCGGGACAGACATCAATGGGAAGGGAAAGGGAACACATCACACAAAGCTGCTGCCTTCTTTGGACTTGCAAAGACAACTTGGGTCAGCAAAATCAATCTGGTAACAGCTGATAGGTTTAAGGTGAGAATGGTTGTGCCATGAGATTCGGAGATAGGAGCAGAAAGAACGGTGGTTACACAGCACACGATGGTACTTCGGTGTTTGCTGGAGATGATTTGCCTGAAATGCTTCCCAAATAAAAAAGATTCCGTTATATAATTAGCAAACCTCACGCTAATGGTGTCGTATCACACGATTCCCAAACAACCCCATGCTGCTGGGAGGGCAGCATTTACTGACCCTTGTGGGATGACACCGGGTAATGAGATGTTGACACGTGCACTGTGAACTTGCTTTTCTTCTTACAGAGTAGCGTGATTTTTCTTTCTTATCCCTATAAAAGGCTGCAAACGTTTTACTTCCTACTCCTCATGCCCACTTCCAGACCTCCTCCTCTGCTCAGCAGCCAAACTGCTCCAGCAGCCTTTTTAAGAGTTAACGGCCATCAGGAGGGAAAACCAAATAAACCAGCCACTAACTTCAAACACAACTGAAGCACATGGAAATTTCTTAAAGGAAAAAAGGAATGGGTGTTGCATACATTTCCACAAACAAACATGAGTAAAGGTTTTGTACCCAAATCATTCAAGTTTATTCCAGACCTCGTATTTAAGGTAAAATATTTCCATTTTCTACACGCAAGGCTGTTGGATGTGCTGCTGCTCTCAGGGACTTTGCCAGCTGTTCTCAGGGACTTGCTCAAAATTACCTTTGACGTTCCTGTCCTTCACCAGAAGAGTCACTGAACTAAAGCAGGCCAATATCAAGGTATGGTTGCAATAACTGAACTTTAGAAACCAGTACAATTGCAGTGATACATAACGGCCAAGGTTACAGCGAGCTGCCAACACCACAGCTGTCACGGAGTTTTACTTCCAGGCTTCGAGAATTTTTCTTCCTTAAAAAACCAATGTGAATGCGTGAGAGGAAGAGGGGAACAGAGCAGCACAGCTGTAGTTTTCCCAAACATAATCACATTACAGAACATTAGGAGCTGCTGCCTGTAACCAAGCTTTTCCAAAACACATAAAGTAGCATACAGTTGGATGTAATTTACATGGGAACAGACACGAGTTTGGCGAACATTTCCATGCCACACATCCTCAGAACTGTTTAAATTTAATCTACACGCAAAATATAAGAGCCAGAAATCAGCCTTCCTTCTGGGAATACAGACACTACCAGCAGGCCTGAAAAGTCACATTGTTTCTTTTGAGAGGGGGAAGGTAAATTTGTTCTTATGTTCCCAGCCACTTCTAGGACCTCTCTGGCACTCTGGTGCGCTGCGTCCCTCACACACCCACACCCACCATGGTTCTTTTTGTTGGAACTCATGCCCATAAGTGCTGATATTAACCTGAATTTTCTCCAGCAACTTGAACCAAGGTCTGCTCGTTCACACAGCCCCTGCTGGTGCTTAGCTCCCAGTTCCATAACGGCCCTCTGCTGGCTCCTGCCATAAGGAAGGATCACAAGTGAAATAGCAGGGGTTCAACACAGGTGGGACTTCGGAACATGATAAACAATAAAACACACATCACACGTGGCCAAAACAAAATAAAAGCTCTTAGGGGAAAACATTTTGATCCTCCTCCTGTTTACAGATCTTAAAAATACGGAGTTTTCACTTCAAAACTGAAAATTCAGCCTGACTACATGGCTGCTTCCCAAGGTTCATTGCAATAAACTATGAAATAAGTCTATGCAACTTTGTACCGTCAACTGTACAGGTAAAACAAGACATGAAATTAACTAGCGCTTCAATCCCTGCTTTTCATGATATATAAACTCAACATAGTACTGACTTGTACATTTAAATATTTACACGTTTGATTGCCAGCAGTCCTAGCATTTACTGCCTTAAAGCTGCATGGTTACTGCATGGACGTTCCTCATTTTGCACAAAGAGAACAAATAAAAGGGGATTTTTTCTTCATTATAAAATTTAGAATTGTTCAGTGAGAGATTCAAACACGCTGAGCAGTGTTATTAGAAAGCTTGGCTGTATGTTTGCTTTTTAAAATCATTTTCAACTATCGAGCAGTAATAGATGGAAAAGTGCACGAGTATGATCTTCCACTGAGGCTGGGAGAGCCTTCCCAGTCTTTTATAATGGCTCAAGGAACATGAAAAGCAGGATAGGAAATGGGACGAAATGAAAAAGCAGCACTTGCTTTAACTCACTGAGGAGGAGGGCAGGCCAGGGACATCTTATTTCTCAGTTGCTTGAGCCCCAGTAAATCTCACATTGCTTTTTGTTTTCTTAATTTTTTTAAGACAGGTGGCTGCTTAAGGCTCTACAGCAAATCACATCATTTGCTTCATCATCTGTGCTAGGGAGCTTTAATCTCATGTACTGCCGAGGGCACGATTTTATACTAGAAGCAATGTAGAGGTTTTGGAGGGCTGGCTCTTCGTGTGTTAATCACTGCCACCAGGCTCTAGTTACACTGAGCAGAACTCGAGTGACAGTGGGAGAAACTTGAGAGACGTGGGAGAGACAATTCATGTTTGTTCATTGCAAAAAAGCATTAAAAAAAAAGGCAATAAACCTACCACCATGAGAAGCACTTGAGAGAAGCAGCAGCACCAAAGCCTGGATACCTAACAACTGTCCTCCTCCTGTTTTTTCTATTTAGAGCAGAACCGAGGCACCGCGGTGGGGAATCGCGTCTTAGAAGGAGCCACCACTGTAACTGAGGCAGCCACTGCAGACAGGCAGCAGCACTGGACTGCAGTGGACCATTCTTGCAGAACACCGTTCTGCCGCTGCCTCTACGGCTTTATAATTACAAAAACCTCCTGTTTTCATGACAGTAAATCTTACACCTCGCAAAACTAAAATTAAAATATTTAATATTTACATAGCATTTCCGATCCTCAATGCATTTTATAGGCATAAGCTAACCCTCACAACACCCCTGTGAGGTAGGTAGGTACCATCGCTGTTTTTACAAAGACACAGATTTAGCGACGTGCCAATGGCCACAGAGGACCCAGTGGAAAAACTGATACAAAATTAGAGGAGCCTGGCTCCTACTCCTGCGCTTATATTCATCAAGCTACTTCCGTAAAGAACACCTCTCTTACGTAATTATTTAACTGAAATTACTTGAAGAGTCTTATAAAAGAAATGCTGCAATTGTCTCTTTGTAATAGTTTTCACGGATCACAAGTTAGAATTTACATTACCTTTTAAAGAATTAAATTTTAAATGGACAACCGACTACTCCAAGCAAGCTTATTTTCTAAAACTACATGGCTTAAATACAACGGGATTTACCCAGGTAAACATTGGGGTTTTACCAAGTGCAATGCACTATCAAAGAGATACTCCAGCTTCAAACCCCTCATGTTGAACTCGTAGGATTTGGACATGCTGAGAAAACAAGTTTCTCGTTCCTGAGGAAAACCGTGAGCCCTTTATCTCTGAACAGCGAAACACAAACCTGGGGGCAATAAGATGTAGCAGATTCTTGTGGTAACCCGGCAAAGGTAGTTAAGGCATTATGTGCATGAAAGCAGAGGTGTAATGCAGTTCACTTCTCCCTGCCCATGTGTCTGTGCTTTCAAAGTCTTGAATTTCACGACCCAAGCAGATAGTCATGCTTGCCAGCATCAAAATCTATAGGCTGAACAACAGAAAGTTACTGTGGTAGCATTAAAAATAGCTATGATGATGGGGAAGGGCTGGAAAAATGGGAAAGAAGCTACTGGATTTCTACCCTCAGAAGAAAAACATAGGAGCAATAATCTGTTCTTGCAATATTATGCCTAGACAAATAAAGTTTGTTACAATTACATCATGCAGCATTTGCAATTCAGTTTGACATGGCCTTTTTGGATGTTTTCTTTCAAGAAACAAGTGCCTTTTCAAAACCACTACTCCCTTTGTATGCTGAATGGAAAATCAATGCAGTGATGCTATCGCTATTTCAGGACCATTACTTGGAGCCAGCTCTCAAGGTGCGCTGAAAGCCGTCCTTGGCGCTGTTCTGAGGACTTGAACGAACAATACACGCTCACAGCAACTGGATGCGGTGCTTTGTTTTTGTTGGGGTTGTGGAAGGGATATACAAGCAAAATAGTTTAGGCAGAAGTAGCCACCTAGCCAGGGGTATGAATTCAGAGAACTCATCTTTGAAAAACGTTCTGGGAATTTCATGAGTGTCACTAAGTGGAGACATCTTTGCACATGCTCTGAAAGAAAAATCATCTGGCAACGAAAGATCCGTGCTGAACAGACAAGAGCAGAAGAAAAATTAAAAAGAACAGCGTTGTTCCACGTAACATTAAGCACAAAAATCACACAAAGCGCTCTCTGGGACAGTTTCCCTTTAACATAACATCAATTTTAAATAGAGGGATAAACAAAAGTTTTAAACAATCTTCAAAATGTGTTTTTGAAAGTAAATCTTCATACTTTAGCAGGTCTTGATAGACAAACTAAGGCGTGCATCAGCACTTGTTACAATACAGCGGGCCTGAGTAGAAAGTAATGGGTATGCACGTGAATTTGTTCTGAATACTAACTCCATTTGTATCCCAATCACTTATAATACTTATGATAATGTCACAAATGTGCAGTTATATTTCTGAATATTGAAACAGCTTTAAAAAAGTGACAGTGGCACAGCTAGTTGTAGAGGAGCATTGATTATCCAGTCAGATCCAAATAAGTTGAAGGTATTTGCCACGATCTCTTTGAAGGCATTGGCCTACATATTTGGCATCACCTGCATTGTAACGAACCAGCAGCAGCTCTTTGAGCTCCTTCTGTTCCCAGGCTTTAATGCCCCCAGTCACCCTGTGCAACATACCGGTTCAGAGAAACACCAGAAGCAGTTTCAGAATCATAGCAAAAAAACCAAGCTAATTAAAAAATATCAATCTGCTGGGATCGTTATCATTTGAGCAAGTACACAGTCAGGAGTTTTTTGGGGTATTTTTTTGAAGGAAAGCACTACAGCTTCAGGGAAAAATAGAGTGCAACACCCCTCCCTGTTGTAAAAAAATATGCAAATTATGTTAGAAATAAAACACTCACAGGGAACGTATATGATCTAGTAAGTTTTATGGTCACTTTCTCATGCGTAAATCTGACCGGGCCCAGCTTTCACATAAATTAAGAGAAATGTGTAATGAAGAGATGGCTTTTTTGGCCTTGTGGGTCCTCACTTGAGAGAGGTGTGGATTTAACTGAGAAATAAAGTCTTAGATCACTTATAGCACAGTATTACAGATTTGTCTTTTTAACATTCTGGCTATTGTGACTATTTATGAGATGAACAGCTGAAGGATGGCACTGAGTTGCAAACATGATGCTGTACATAGCCACACAAAGGTGTGCACTGTACATTCTACAGAAATTCAAAAAACATGGGAAATGTTCAACAACAATCTAGCAGAGGTGTTAAACAAAAGAGCCAACTTCTGCCTCCATTTCCACTAAAACCGATTTTACTCGGCGTGCAACATTTGTGTTTGCTTCAGTTTTCTCAGGCTCGTGACTGGAGACAAAACAGGCTTCGCTTTTGTGTTCGTGTGCTACTCTTCCTTGTTGGTCCACTAAACTCTGCTGTTCTGCTGTCATAACCACTGAAGTGCTGACAAAAAATGAGCAAGAGCAGAGCAGCTGGGATGGCTCTACAGAGGCAGAGCTACATTCAGCAAAACCCAAATCCCCCACAGCACTGCACATCCCAGTTACCTTTCTTGACCAGAGTCAAGTAAGCACGGCCTCGAGTCAAAGGGTTTGCTACCACTGTTCTAGCACAAGTGTTTTAGCTAATGCCCCAACTTTGAAAGGTCTGTAAGTCAGCAATTTAGACCTTTTGAGTTGTTATTGCTTGAGCAAAGAGCTCAGTGTAGAAATACATTGCAGTTGCGCGTAGCCTGGATGTGAATCAAACCGATGCTGAAAGTAAAACTACGCGTGAACCTTGCATCACACTCAACTCCAAAATGACACCTGTCTGTGTGAAGGGCTGCAACAGGCACACGGCAGCTTAATGCCAACATCCTAAACCAACTCTGAAGAGTCAAATCTTGCCTTAAGTTCTGTAAGTATATGAAGTTTTTTTTTCTTTTAAATTAAGGCAATGAAATGGCTGCAGATCCTAAAGTTCATTTTAGGGGAACAAAAATATACACCTTTTTTCTTCTGAACTTTAGGCAGCAGAACATAATGTAAAAACCTGCATTACAGGTTTGACACGTAATGTCAGGTTGATCTAGAAAAACAAAACTAAACACAAGTTAAAACACCATTCTTTTTTTCTCCCCATTGGAACACCAAACTCAAACTTTAGAGAGGAAAAAAATAAAGCTTAAAATCAGCTAAACTGTTTAGAGCTTTTTATGTATTTGCATCACACTCTAACATAATTCTGGGTAGAAAAGAAATCTGCACGTTTATCTGGACACTCATTTTAAACCAGTGGGGAAAAAGGCACTGAATTTATTTTTCATTGTGCCCATATCTGTTTGCACATATATGGAAAAAAAATTAAATTCTCATTTTCTGTTCATTCTCTCCCACACACAAGTATGACAGATTGCAGCTAACACATAATAGCAGAAGCTGATTTGAAGTTGACCTCTCCTATTCCACTGTGTTATGTATGTTCAAACTTCCAGACTCTCTAGAATCTGAGATGGCTGCAAAGAACCCAGAGACAGGTACAAGATTTAGTCAGCATTCAGCGTTTCTCAGTGCATTTTGCAGAAAGGGTCTAAATTAGGCATAGAGTTTTGTTGTTTATTTTACACAGAGAAGTCCACCAACATTTGCCATAAATTCTTCTAAACTCTTTAAGAAGGCCATCTTCTGCTTACGGTCCAGTGTAGGAGGAGTGCTGCTTGCAGTAAGCTTGTTGAAGGCATCTGCTAATCGCTGGTAGATTACTGGATCTTGTTGAGTTGATAGTAAGGTTTCAACTAACTCTGAATATTCAGCCTGTTAAACAAACGCGAGTCTCATTAATTCAAAAATAAAAATATCCAAAGCCACAATATATACAACTTCTCTTGTCAGGACAAAATCCAGAATTAAGGCTGTGACTGAAAACCCTCAGTAGTATCTCCCCACCGACTCCACCAACTGGCGTACCAGGGGCTGCTATGGACTTGCGGCCTCCCACCTTTCTCTAAACCAGATAAAGACTTTGAACCAGAACAGGCCGAAACTTCAAGCACTCTGCTCAAAGTTCTTTCTGGCTCTTAGCATATGCTCAGTTCTATGAACTGAGCTTCTCTTCCTTCACAGCTGCCCCACATTCAGTACGCCATTTCCCTCCACAGTTCTCCCTCTCTCTGGATTCCCTTCCCTGGGACGGACAGCTTAAATTCCTAAGAGTTTCCCCACTTGAACAGCCGCAGAAGACAAAGAAGCACATTAAACGTGATTAGGATAGTGAAGGAAAGCCTGAAGGTTTTAAGAGCAGCAAACTGACTGCTGTTCAGGGAGTAACAGGCTCTTGGCTCTTTTTGTCTAACATGCTCACTTGTCCCTTTACGTCGATGAGTGCTGCTAACCAGACAGGAGATTCATATGGAAAAGTGGCTTAAGAACACCTCTGTCAAAGGCTTGTCAACCTGGCAAGAAGGGCTTTCAAGAGCATGTTGGGGGACAGTGGTAACAACTTGTAGACAAGTGGGGATGGTGACTAAGAACATGAGGCAGTAATAGATCTAAGAGTGTTCGTCAAGAAGGATAAAACAGCCTAAAGGAGGCAAACCTCAAATGTCTAAGAAGAAATACATTCAGCCTTGGAAACAAACAGTAAGAACAGATGCAGAGCTGCAAGATCACTGCAGAAACTTAGAGGTGGTGGGACAGCTGATATAACTGGAGTGCTCTAATGGACAGAGAGGTTCTTTGGACAGAGAAGAGCACAGAAGGTTGCTGTTCACATGAAAGAAGGAAATTAAGGATGCTGTCTTATGGACAAGGCAACAGTCTAGCTGAGTGCTCGTGGGTCAGAGTAAAGAGGCAGTAAAGATGATGACATGGTGTGAGTTATTACAAGTCCCCTAAACAGGTGAATAGAGGACCACCAGGTCATCTTTAAGCAGCTGGAGAAGAATTCGGATCACAGACTCTTAGGAGATAATCTCCCTGACACCTGCATGCCAGACTGGCCAAAGGTGTAATGGTTTTTCTGCATTTGCTACTCAGACAAGGAAGTACTGGGCAGGGAGGTGGTACTTAATGAGAGCCTTGGCTGCGCAGATGGTGAAATAGTGGAGTTCAGCATCCTTAAGAGAGTGAGGGCAGGAGAGGAGAGTACTGACCCTGCACATCCTGAAAGCAGATTTCAGCTTATTCAGGAGGCTGGCGGGTGAGATCCTGTGCAATGCAGCTCTCAAGACCAACAAAGCTGACAAGTTTGTTATTTCAAGGCCAGACACTCTATTGCCTTTGAAGGACTGCGGAGACTGGGTACACACTGATGGCTGTATGAAATCAAATGTGTCCATCTCCAAAGGATTGTGTTTAATGGTTCATATCCACGTGGAAGCCAGTTTTAATAGTGCCCAGGGGCCTTATACTGGGGTGTCCAGAATTGCAATAGAAACAGACCAATTCCCTGCAACCATACAGACTGGGAAATGAGAGCTTGAGAAGCAGTTCTGCTGAATAAAGAATCAGAGGGTTTCAGTGGAGTTGCTAAAGTGTTAGCAGCACACTGGACTGTATTTATTATTTGTCTTTACAGAGCTCTCATTCCATATTACACATGGAATACTGTGTCCAGCCTTGGATTCCCCATTGTTGAAGAACAGTGACTGATCTAGAGGAGGGCCACCAAGATAGTCAGGCAGGTGCTGAAAGTACATCTGTTTTAAAGACAACAAAGCTTTCAATGGGCTGCTTGGAGGCTCTGCACCACCTATCTTGGAGGTTTTGAAGACATGGTTGGAAAAAGTCCTGAATGAGCCAACCCGACTTTGGTATTTAGCCAATTTCAAGCAAGAAGTTGGACTACAGACCTCCTGAATGATGCTGCAGTTTGCCAAATGCACAGTAATTAACCATTCTCCATCAAAAAGTGAGTGGTTTTCAGAGTTCTGAAGTGTTTATATCATACCTGATGCAAACACACTAATGTGTAGAATGCTTCACCTGCTGCAGTTGTCATTTCTGTATTGTGCTTCTGAAGTACCAGCATATCAAAGACCATCTGAAATCACAAAACAAAAGCAGAGAAAGAATGAAGTTCCTCAAGTTTTAAAGTCTCCCACAAGAGTCTTTCTCTCACAGAAAGACAAACAAGGAATGGATTAATAAGACCAATTTTAAAAAATTAAGTGGAAAATTTAGAGAAAAGGCAGATAGCCATGTTAACATGATGAATACAGTTATTTAAGGTGTTTCTCACACTCTTAGCTTAGCTGATGTAAACTCTTAATGAGAAGTCTCTAGCAGTCTGAATGTCAGATTGGTAAGAAAACATCAAGCAAAACTGATCTACTGAAATCCAGAGTCCAGAACACAAGTACCCCAATCACTTTGTTCCTGATTATCAGTGAGCTACCAGCTGGCTGCTACCTGCTAACCTGGAAATTCAATGAAATACAGTGAGTGGTCCTTTAAGGAAACTGCCAAGAAAAAGCAAAATTTATTGGGTACATTGAATAAATGACAGCATTTACCTTTCTTTGCTGTACCCAATTATGCTCTTGTTTTAGTATTCTAACCCTACCTTCATTTCACACAATTCTGGAAGCTTTGTGACACACTACAGTAAATTTAACTGCTGAAACTACTGAGATTCATTCAAGAACTCACGTACCGAGCACAGACAAAATATAAATTGCTGAAGTATATATATTTATATATAAATATAAATAATTCTGAAGTATTCAGATCTTTTGTTGAATGTTGAAAAGTCATTTTCCTCTCTGTGTTCCTACTCTTCTTTCTAATACAGTCAGTGTTCCTGATCCTCTATGCTCTTCTTCAACTACAAGTTTTGTCTCTTACTATTTGTGCATGATGCTCATTAATGTAGTCTGACAGTATCACTATCTGTTCTCTTGTATGCAAAAAAAAAACAACCCAACAAACAAACAAACAAAAAAACCACAAAAAAGCAACTACAAGACAACAACAAAAAGCCCACAAAGTAACATGAAACAGTTGTTCTTACCTTAAGAAAGTGCCTTGTTGCTAGAAAGAGGGCTGAATCTGTTTCTTGTGCTTTTGCACACTGTTCTGCTAGCGGTGTTACAGCCTCCAGACAGAGCTGGCAAACCTCAGAACTCATTCTGGTAACGAGCATTAAAGAATCAACACCAGATTTCAGTGAAATTGTAACAAAACTTCCCAGTGGCGTCACTAGAAAACACTTCAATGCTTATATATTCTAAGATATCTTTGTATTGTAGAGCCGTTAATAAAATAATAAAATAAAAAATATAAAAAAGGGAAAAAAGGGAACTCTGTCTTTGTTGCTTTCCTTTATTAGCTGCACACCCTGAAGTACCACAACCCTCTCTGACATAACACTTTCAGAAAGAGTCCCTTATGCTCAAGCTCATCTGTGTCTGACACGTGCCACAGATTAGTGAAAATGGTGCTCCTGTTGTAAGAGGGAGAGCCCATTGGCAACATGACAGGAAATGCTCTGGAGCCAGCCCAGGAGAACAGCAGCAGTGTTTTCTATTACCAGCTGAGAAACTAATTCAGGAACAGCTTTGGGATGCCAGCTGAAGGCTTATGAAGTTACACACTCTGAAGTGAAGTAATGGAGGAGGCAGGAATGGCTGCCAGAAAAAACTTACACGTTAAACCACTTAAACACTGCATTCAAGCAACACGAGTCAGGAAATTCAGCTAATACTGGAATCTCAATAGACACTACCATGAGATTCTCAGTCACTAGGAGGCACAGAAGAGGAGTTGTTTATGGATATAGAATTGTAGGTACGGAAATTGATAGGAAAAGAAACAATGCAAAGAAAAAGAATCAAGACTTAACACATCCTTATAAAAGCAGCTCAGACTTTTAAACACTCTCAAGCCCCACAAAGGATACGATGACATCCCTAACTCCAGTGAGTACATTAGGCTCTTGAAGAGGTCCTCTGGAAGTTGTGGGATTTTCTCAGGGAATATCTCACAGATGAAAGTGATTAGTTTGTAATATTGATTACATAGCGATGGAAACTGCCAAAAGAAAAACAAGATCGTTTCAGAATCATGTAGCATTATCCTGGCATTATTTCCAGCTGTACAAAGACACAAGTCTGGTGCTTTGCCCTGAAAAAAGACAATTATAGGCAATAACTTCAGTTATCAGAGGCTACAACTACACTAGCAAAAAGCATGGTGCAATAGAAGCAGACTGCTACAAGTTCAAGTTGATGGCAGCTGTCCAGTATCTACTCCATACAAAGTTACGGAGTTTTACTTCCACGTGAGCAAGTCTAGCCCTGAGGGGAGAAAGCCTCTCAGCAGCTGGAGTGCAAGCAGGGTGCTCCGAGGGCACGTCCTTTGCCTTGGTTTCATCTATAATGCATGCAGCTCTCACACTCAGTAGGTGCCACCGGATGAGAACCAAAGCATGTCAAGAGGAGACAACTGAGGTACGCTTTAAAACTGTTCCCCTGATTCAACTTAAGTAGAATGCAATTTAGAATCCATTTCTGGGATTCACTAGTATAAAACTTTCATATTCCAGCAGTTGCATGTAAGAGCAAATTTACCTTCAGCAGATCCTGAGACATTAGAGGCAGAACTAGATTAACCCCATATAAGACAACATCTGCAGCTGATACAGTTCTGTTTGTAGCTTGCCCAGGCTCGTGTCCTCTAAATACTTCATCTGTAGCAAAGACAAAAACATGTTTTACAGAAGAGACTATATACAGACTAAGTATACTGAAGAGTATATTACTTTAATAAAGACATTCTTAGTGATAGGACTATTACCCTCTTCCCAAACAAAACCACAAGGCACTGTTTTAAAATAGAAACGTAGTGAGTAGAGACTGCCACATCACTCTATATTTATATTCACAAGGACGAGGCATTTCATAATCACATGTACCAGATGACATACTAAGCCAGAACACTTCAGATACTTTGAGAGTGCCCTTCCATTACAGAATCTTACATTTGTTTCTAATGATATCCGCTTCATACTTGCATAAATACACTGAGCGAAATATTACAAGCATTTCTATGCTTTCTCTAAATTTCTGGATAGTGTACATTAATAATTTATATGAATGTTATGAACACAAAGATAAATAAATTGGGCAAATTACTGAAGCAAACTCTGTAATAGAGAATTTGACAAGTTTCTCTACTTCCTGTTACGATCCATATTTCCCAGCAACTGGACGTGACCTTACTTCTGTCATTCTCGCGTTAAGTTAGCAGCAATTGTCAAGGCATTTGATAGCTGGGTATTAAATTAAGGTAGTACTCATGGTCTTTGGTTTCACTGTGTTTTTTTTACAGTACTTTCAGTGCATCTAACATCCAATGTCAGACTCAAATAGCATGTATTAACAGCACTGAGTTGTCTAGTCAATGGACAAAATCTACATCTGGTCTTGCATTTTTGTGTTGTGCATACACGACAGAACAAGGCAGACGCACAGACTTTTCACTTTACCTTGACTGAACACATGCCCCATGTTTAACACAAATTACAGCTCAGCAATTACCAAGTACTCCATACCTGTATCACTGAAATCAATGAATTCTTTTGATAGAAGATTAGTGAGAAGCTCCATAATAAGAAGGAGATCCTGGTACTGGTCTTCCTCTGCTGTAACATCTATCCGTTGTCGACCTAGATTATTCTTTGAATACACCTGGAGCAGAGTTAGGCAGGCCTCATACAAGTTCATGGCTTTGGCCTACAAAACATTGTTAGATAACAGTAAGAAAACTTCTACGTGCCAAAAGTGACACATTTTGTTTTAAGACTGTACTACATGGTCAGTGATACCTCAAGAATCAAATTTCATTTATATAATCCTTTTTTGTAATAACTGCACAAAAAATCACAATAACTGAGAATACTTAGAGCCATATATCTATGTGCTGTTGACAAAAGCATTACGACACTACTTTTATCAATCCACTCTCAGGAAAAAAAGTGACGTGGGATAGGCTGCCCTATCTCACGAATCTCACCAACTGGAATTAAAATGACAAAGGGACATGCTTCAGCTATCAAAGTTTGGAGCCACAATACACTGTGCAGACCCAGTTTGAGGTAAGCTTCTCCTAGACGCAACATCAAAATTAGCCAACAGTACTGCAGTACAAGGGGACTGCATTGACTCATCCCATACTCACTCACAGCAACCACTTGCTTAGGACCAAAGCAGTATCTCTATGGCACGCATTGGTCACAGACAGCAGTCCTGCCACTGTGCTAGACAAGACTTCAGAGAAGTATGAGACAGTTAAATCAGCACTCAGTGTGGTCTGCACTCATGTCCTTCATACCTGCTAAGGCTAGTAATGAATTATAGTTACATAATTTTTTCTATGAGAACAGTCTAGATGCCCTGCTTTTAATCTTCGAGAATGTAAACTTTTAAACAAAGGAATTCCTCAACCAGAAACGACCATAAAGCATTTCCATTTCTTTCTGTATCAACAGAATAGTGATGCGAACACAGGGTTTTTCTCCATACAAAACATAAAAAAATTGCATTATTCTGCAAGAGGGATAGCAACATTCACATACGACTACACACAGACACACTTCCCCCTCTTGGCTTATTTACCTCTCCAAGATAACAGATTTGTTTATGTGCAACTTCAACAAAGACTTCTATTATGAGATTAACAGTCTCTGGTGTGTTTTTGTACACTTCCATCAATCCAATGCAATTATTAAGGAAGTCCATTAGGAAATTGAAGAGAATCGCTACGTTGTCGATCTGAGTAGCCTCAGCAATGCCACAGAGCGCTTCTAATGTAGCTGTGATTTCCTGTTTCACCTCCTCCTCTTGGCAGATCTGCTGAAAGTTTTCTTGGTTTATCACATTCAAGAAACGCTGCTGAAGTGGTTGAAGAACCTGAAAATGTTTCAGGAAAGTCACACTAAGATAAGCATGTTGATACATGAATGAGATTTGAGATTTAAGTAATTCAGCAAGCTCATGGGTTGCTTTTATCATAGCAGTACAAGATTCAGTTACTTCCAGTTTGCAATTGTGTTCTTTTCTGTCTCATCAGCATTGTCTGAAGTGACAGTGATCAGTAATTCTCACTATTCACCACCCCCTGCAGGTTAGTTTCACAATGAGTACCTCCATAAATATTTAACATTACTTTGTCATGTTTAAACAAGTAAGGACTTCGAGTGACAGCATTTGATGCTTTTCCAGATTCAATACTGGCAACAACAAAATCATTACAGGTCAGTGCTGAAAGCACTGATTAATAATTATGTTCCCCATTATCTTTGTCACATTACAATCTCTCTTACAATCAGCCAGTGTGACTGCAGCTGTAACAAAACCAATTTGAATCAACTTAGAGATTTCCATGAAACAGCTAAATGCTTTTCCACCAATTAGTTCCAGTGCCTTATCATCTCACTTCATTAATTTTCTAACTTTGCTAAACTTTTCTCTGAAGATCAGTGTTTTTCAAACTTCAGAGCCAACGTAGCATTCCCTGACCACATTTCATCTACCAATCTTCCTGGCATTAAATATCTGAGTATTAATAGAACAGAAAAGCTGATCAAGCTTCTTTATTTTTTATTCATTAGCTTCACTCAATGAGAGTAAGTAAATAAATGAATAATTCATAACCATCACCAAACTAAAACAAAGGGAAGAAATGAGGGAAACTCTTCACCTTTACAACAGCATTCTGTTATGCAGGATTTCATGAACCCTCCAAGGGTTATTTAGCCACTTACTGGCTATTTCTGTTTAGGTACTGATGGTTTAGATAATTTTGGCAACTCCCAGGTGCTATAAGATTATGGATGTTCAAAGAATCACTAAAAAAATAGATGTCAAAATTGGAAGATTCTGAATGAGCTAAGTTTGCATCATCATAAAATGCTCCAAATCAACTCCAGACTTGAATTGTACAACTTGTTAAAATGAAGGTAACAGAAGCACCGAAACATCTTACCTCTGTCCAGTATTGTTGTTTCATTTCTGTATCCATATGAGCAAAACCTCCTAAAACTAAAGCTTTCATTAGTGTTCTCTGCACAGAACTAGACAAATAGTGAAGAGGAGGGCTTCGCCTTGCAAACTGTTTAGCTAAATTCCACCAGTTCTCACACTGAATAACCAAGTTTGCCCTAGAAAGGGAAAAAACGTTTTGATTAAAGACTCAAAAAATTGTACTTTGAACAGAGTGCATCAGGTTGCTAGCAGCTGTCAGAACATTCTAATTTTCTTAATTGTATTTCCTGTCTTCTAAGGTTCAGTTGCCTTTTGATTTTCATCTTAATATCTCAGTCCTAAAATTTCTTAAATATATACTCTGAAAGTAGCTCAATTCATACAGGAGAAAAGCAGGAAAGTACTTTAGTTTTACACACAAAAGAACACACACACAGTTAATGGATATATTACATGGATTAAGAGCTTAGTCTCATTATGTCATGATAAAATAAGCAGTTTGTTCCAAAACTAGCTCCTGAGGGTTTTATTCACTTATCTTTATAAAGAAAATTTCTCAAGCATTTAACTCCTAAAATTTCAGTCTTTCTACAGACTGAATGTACGTTTGCATGTCAATTCACAAAAGCAAAACATTCAGGCATTTTCTGCTTCACAGTCTATAATACTGGAAAAACTGAAATTTGGCTGAACCCACCAAACCCTAGATTATTGTTTCCTTTAAAGGTTTGTAAAACACATTCTATATAGGCTTAGCCAGTATCTGAACTCAATCTGACACAACTTGCTCAACAATAACCAGCAACATGAAAATCCTTGCAATAAGAGTGGAGACCAGGAGAGTTTTAAATTCTCACTGTTTGGAAGTGAGGCACAAAGGAAGGGGAAGGAGAGTGCACTGATAAATAATAACGGAGATTAGGTTTGTCAAATCTAGGTCTCACTCCTCGCTCGGTCAGACATTTTTTTCTTCCACTTATAATATGTTACTAAAGTAATTTGACTTACAGAGACATGAATATAAAGTGCCCCGTATCTGGATTACTTTGGCCAAAACAATTTAAAGGAAGCAAAAGAAGTTTTTTGACTTCCAAAGGTGTAGCAACTTACCGCTCTCTCCTTTCCACTAATGTTACTAGCAGTTGTACAGTATCATTTGCAAGGTCCTGCTCTGAACTCCACACTGCCAGGTTACTGATCACTTTTTCTAAAAGGTAACCCACAATCCACTGGGAACCCTCTGTATCAGCACCAAATGCTGTACTAAATGGCAGACTTATCTATAAGAAAAGCATTAAAATGAGTGAGTTTTACAGAAGGCAGAACCCCAAAGTGTACGGTCATCAGTCAGCAAATTCTTTTCAGGCTGTCACTTCTTGCCTATTTATAATACACAAATGTTACACAGTTGAAGGCAAAGAATACCCGTAACAGAAAAATCTTTGCCAAATTTATCTTCCAATTTTAAGCACAACACCTAAAAAAAGAGAAAGGTTTCAACCTCATCACAGTATCAGGTTTGATCACGTCTAGCTTTTAATGCCACACAAAGTTCAAAAGCTTTAAAAACGAACAGAAAGATCCAAACCAATCCATCTCCCAGAAGTGTTTCCATGAACTTACAATATGACAAAAGTAACTAGAAATAAACCTCGCGCTTGATCTAGGTTGAGTATTTTGAGAACTTATTTTGATATGCTTCCTTGAACTCTGCACTTTCCTATCTTCAGAAAACAAAGTTTAAGTGAAATCCAAGGATTCTGTAAGATTTGCACAGGGGCTCCCTGTCAGCACACCACCAGAATTTCTAATTTTAAACTGTCTGAGCATAAGAGTCAAACAGAAATCTTCAATCACTTCCACATGCCAACACACGTAGCATTTCCCAGATACTCTGTTTCACGCTCTCCAATTCTTCCCCAGCTATCTTTGCTCTACTGCAAGGACAAGTTGAATAATGTAACTTGAATTAATTATAAGTCTTTGGTATCTCCATCTTTGTTAAGGAGGGACCTCCTGAAGCGTTAGTATTCTTAGCTGCTTCAGCAGTGGAAATAAAGGGAGGAGGAGGAGGCTTCCTTCCCAGAAGTTAGAGTCAACAGGACCTTCTCTAGCTGGATTATAGTTAGTAGTATAAGCAAAACCAGGATAAAGGTCTAATCATGATTAGTGCTGTCCAAACATGATGAAATGCTGCCCTTTACAAAGAATGCATTATAAAAATCATGAAATATACAATAAGAACATATGAGATTGGGAGAGAAAGTATCATGATTTTAGCTAATGTCACAAGGTAATTAAAGGTTATGTAATTCAAAGTCATGACCAGGTTACTCACTAAATCATCCATCAAGGGCAACCACTGTCTGAGAGATGCACTGTAAGAGCTGATGCAGCTTACAGAATTGCTCACCTGTTAAGCAGCCTGACAGCACACTATGCTATTCTGTGACGCCACTGGCCAGAAATCATATTTATGTCAAGATGTGCAAGAAGAATCCCCTAACAGCTTATATTTCTAATTTAAAAAAAGAAGACAACTACTTCCAAACTTATTCCAAAATAAACCCAATCCCAGTTAGTATTGAAATGCTTTATCGTTACGTATTAAAATAGCTACACTGACATCTACACCCACAAGATACGGTTGCTAATACTCACCAAGGCATTCATAAAGGTCATATCCTTACCTGGTCATACAGTTTTTCATCTGCTAGGAGGTAAGTCTTTGCCCAACGCTTGAGGAACCATACAATATCTTTGCCCATCTGGGGGCTCAGAAGATGTGTAAGATTTGCTCTTATTGCTCGAGATTCTACTTCTGACACTCTTAAAATAGCAGATAACAACCTGAAGGTTACATACAATAAGGATATTGAGAGTGTTTTCTGGAGAAGCAAAACAACTTATTTTTCATGAAATACAAAGGGAAGAACAAGATAACAAAGTGTTTTCACTCTAACGAAGTAGAGAGCACTTGAATTTATTGCTTCTTTAAATGTAAGAGAAGAGACAGGCTACAATGGCAAATATCATCCATGAAGTCAGAATATGCATTAAAAGATAAAGTGATTTTCTTTGATATCAAAAACACTGGAACAAAAGAAGTGTGACATGCATCCTGACAGCATGGGATTTCTCCCTTTCCTGCTCCCCTAGTTACAAAGTGGGGCCTAATGGGGAAGCTCCAGTAACACAACAGTTCCTGAAGAACAATTGCAGAAACACCCAGATATTTCTTACTTTCTCATTACCACAGAGAGACAGTGTGATGTAGCAGATCACTAAATGATTGCCTCAATACAACCAGTCAAGAAAACTGTATTAAATGTTAGATTTTACAGTATATCAATTACATTTGGTAGCAAAACATTGGTTTTCTCAAGGAATTTAGGAGTTGACAGAGGTCTACTTGTTGAAGAAATTTCAGAGCTATTGTTAGAGAGCCTCAAATCTATATCTGATTTTATTTCTATCTACACCAAGACACTGCATTAAGAAACTGTATTACTTGAAGCTGCCAGACTTGGAATCAACAAGCAGTACTGAAACTCATGAATACATTAACTCATTAACTAATACATTAGGATTACCCACGAAGGTAGATTTTTCTAGCCTTTTCCTGAAGAAAATGTTTAGTACACAAAAACTAATCTGTGGCTAAAGTAGACAAGCTCACTAAAGCTCTGGAAAGTTCTTTCTCAAGCTGCACACATATTGAATGCATTTATATAGCCTACAGTATGTTATCAAGATTCATCTGTGTTGCTTTAAAAACAAGATTTCAGTAATTTGAGCCACTGTATGGACTTTCTGTAACAAATAGATTAAAGACAAGTTTTCTGTAGAGACAAAGTTTTTTTATTTGTTTTAATAAGCAGCTCATGTCCACCATTACAGCCATTAGGTCAACAGTCTAGTCATTTTGGCCATCCCACCTCAAATAACTGATCTGTTTTGATGCCATATTCTCGCTCAGCCCTTCAGTCCTCCTCCTGGATCACCCTGACTTCAAATATAACCTGTAATCACTCTTCCCTTCTTTACCATAAGAAAATTATACTTAATCTTTTCTCTTTTCTTTTACATTGCTGTCTTAACGTGTCTTTTATAAAAACATTCATACAAGTTATTTACCCTTACTTTACAACTAGTTAAAAGATATACTTGATTTCTAACGTTCAGGGTTTACATTTGGCTTTTTACTTTTACAGTTCACAGAATTCCACCCCCGTTCTTACTTTTTCCTCTGAAAAAGCATTCGACATATGTAACACATGATGCATTTTTACCTTATTACAGAATCAGTTCTGTTGTACCCTGGGATGGAAGAGGCCTTTTCTCCTGGAGATCCCAGAATTTGAAGCGTTGTATTGATGTCAACTTCAGTTGAATGCTTAATGGAATATTCCATGACTTCTGGAGGTATTAGCGGAGTCTCTCCCTGAGTATCATTAGCCAAGAGGTAGCCTTACATTAAAGAAAGAAAGAGTGATCACAACTTTCTATCCTAGGTTAATCTATAATCTTATCTAAGCTTTTTAATGAGAGAATCCATTGGCTTAAATGCAGACATCATACCAGAACCAGATGTTTATACAAACCCTGACTTACACTGTTTAAATATATACCACTAACTTTGGAGAGAGGAACCTAATGTGACATTAAACAAATACCAAAACATAAATCATCAGATTAAGTAATAAAAATAAGACAGGGAAAACTTTTAGTACGTGAAGTAAACACATCAAGTACTGCAGCCAATTCAGCTATTGGGAAAAAATATATACACATTTTGCAGTCACTATTATCTCTGTTAAGTAATAAGAACAAGCAGTTGATTTTACAGCTTCCCTAGTAAGTCCATCTCATTTGGGACTTCTGCTCTGCTAACATTTCAAATCTCCTTTTAACTTTCTGACATCAAACTCACTACTGCAAAGTTCTCCTTGCATAGCAACAGCAGATCAGGTCAAGCAAGGATTTTCACAATACTCTAGTCAGGCTAACTAATATTAATTCCAGATTCACAGTTTTCATTGTCTGATCTCATAACCATCTGAGATATGAACACAAACTTCATCTCACAGTGATACAAAAGTATTATAAACACTTTTATGCCAACATCTGAGAGCAAGTTAAACAGCAGGCGTTCAAAAAGACCCCACAAAACATTTCATAAAGTGTACATTTCTTTTAATGAAATACAGACACTATCTTTGCTAATATTACATTTTGCAAACAGATGTAAGATAATGCCATCTAAAAATCAAAAATGAAAAGGTTCTAAATTTAAGTTCTCTGAAATAGCAAAATGCCAGGGCATGGACAAACAGCCCTGAGAGATTCTGGAACTTACTTCTGGCACCACCAAGTAATATTGCTATCCAGATCTCACGTGGATTACCTCACAAAGCCGTATGACCCCCAGACATTACAGCTGAAACCATGAACAGACCAATTTCTCGAATACGTTGACTGGTAACATTTCAGAAGTCTATGACAAAATTATTAATGGGAATTTCCAAAGGATGTACTTCATGTAAAGATGCCATAAATCTTTTAAAGACAACTTCTGTGTTACTGCAGACAGGTGAATTGTAAGCATATACCATTTACCAGCAGGTGACATGCAAAGATTTTTCTTTCCTGAGGTGTTGCAGCTGCTATAGCAATATCAGAATAAGCTCTACTTAACACTGTTCACTAACCTGTGACTAAAATAAGCCAATGAATATCCTCATACAGGTCATCAAGCACTTTATTGTCAATTGAGCCTGATGCAGGTGAGGCAAGCAACTGCTGCTGATGTCTTTGCAACTGACCATGGAGCCTTGTCACTCGGTCTTCTAATAAACTGTGGACAAACCATAATAAAATAACTTCACTGTTTTTAAACTGTTTCAGCAAAGACAAGTTTTTCCAATTAGACAAATTTATTTGTTTGTATTCATGGCCATTGTCCTGTACCTTGTAAGAAGAGGTATACAGTGTTCTGCAGCAATTCTTCCTAGCATGCCAACACTGGCCAGCTGGTCACAGAACTGGTCTCTGTCGTCCTCCTGCAGTTCACTGATTTCTTCTTCTTCCCGAGAGGCCACACCATTGGCAGTCTGGTGTTATTTCAACAAAAACAGAAGCAACCAATTCACGTTACATTCACTACAATTCTTTACCACAGGACTTCTCTATGTTATTTTGGCTTCTGTGTCACAGAAACGCAAGACTCACACTACATTAGATGCAGAAGAAATAAACAGAAGAGTACATAAGGCTTTATATTGTCTTGAAATAATAATTTCACAAACTTATCATGAAACAGCAAATTCAGTTCATTGTATATTTGCTGCCTTTTCCAGTAGTGCTCTCAAGTCAAAAGAATCACCGCTAGTGAAAAGAATCACAGAGTCACAGAATGGCCAGGGTTGGAAGGGACCTCAAGGATCATGAATCTCCAACCCCCCTGACACATGCAGGGCCACCAACCTCCACATTTAATGCTAAATCAAAGATAGAAGTTATGAAAATTGATGCTCATTAATAGAATAAGAGCAGACTGGACAGCAGAACAGTTTCTTTAATCACATACATAAATAAGCTTGGTCAAGCATCCACTGCTGTAGGTACAGTATAGCAATGACTCTGGCTCATAGGGATGGTCTGCAAACCCAATGAACAGGAGTCTGCTAAAATACATGTAGATGTGGATTTCAAAACACGTAATCAGGCCAAGAACCATTTGAAACACTGGGACTTCCACATCCTATTCATTAGCCAAAGATACTCTTCCTCTGAGATCTTACTTAGATCACAAGAGGAAGAATTTTTCAAAACGAAGTGAAAATCACCTTCTATTTTCTATTTTCTAATATTTTCTATAACTCACTGCTTGAGAAAACAAAAAATCTCAGTTTTAGAAGTTTATTTCTTACTGATGCAGTAGGTGCAGCGTTTGATTTCTCAAAGTATATCTTGATTACAAAATACCAAAATAATTACAAGACTGTTTTCTTGAGGAGATGAATCATATGTAGAAATCACATATCAATCTTACACGTGTTTTTAAGAAATCCCTTGAAGAATGACAGAATTTACATAAATTACAAACTCAAGCACAAGTGGTGGAGAAAGCCATCATTCTCCATTGTTTTTGCAAAGGCTCTGGAAAATTAAATCCAAACAATTTCTTACCTAACGTGCTTTTAACCCATATTTTCTTTATCTAACCCACCAAATCATTCTCTTTTGGCAACTTCAAAGTCGCAGCTGTTTACTGAAGAGTGAGTCTGGTCTCAAGGCAGAGACTGAAAGTTCCTGTTACTGCTTTGATATCGAACAAGAAGCATTCTAAAATGCCAGCTGTGGCTTTTAAAAGGTTACCCATGGGATAAATGACTTATCTCACAGAATGACATGAATTAACCTGTGGATACAAGCTATGTCAAGACCGCCTGATATGAATGCAAAGTTCTCTTGTGAAATATTTGTCTCTGTTTTGGCACTGTTATTACCATCTGTTGCATATCAAGATATCAGAATTAGGTTTTATACAATGATTTTCAGAGTGAGGTATCTTAAGTAACTTTGCACAGCATCAATTTAAGTTAATGTAGTTATTGAATCAAATCTCTGCAATAATTAATTCATTCAGTACCTACATCCAAGTTTCAGTGCCATAATCTATTTCAGAGAGATCCATACTCCTGGCAAAGAAGTTAACTTGCTTTCTTTCTCAAAGATTCAGCAACTAGTCAAGTTAATTTTGTTTTTCCTCTAGAAGAGTCACTCATAAAAATTCAGTAGGGAAGTCACGTACCATTTTATCCAAAAGAATGTAAATTTCATGTTTCTTCTAGACCGAGCATGTTATTCTGTATTTCCCTATATATTTATGCATGTCAGTTACACTTCAGTTGGAAGGTAACAAAAGCATACAAGGCTTCCAATGTCACGGAAGATTTTTACTATGACTCTAGGCAAGAGAAGGACAGTCAAAGGTTTGGTCACTGCATGGGCAGCGAGGATCAGTAGGATGCAGATCAAGTTGAGTAACAGGTTTTTTTTGTTTTTGTTTTTAAAGGTATTTTTCATCTTTGTATTCCTTCATTTACTTTTCATAATGAGAGAAACAGACTGGAAAAAGAGCCTCTGAGTAACAGACTCTTTCAGCATTTTTTCATCTCCAGTCAAAGTCACAAGCAGTAATTCTACAACTACCTTCTTCGAGCTACATAAAGAAGCACAAAACAAAATAAAACAAAAAAAACATGAGTTAGTTGCCATATATTATCAGCAAGAACTACTAGAGCAAGGGCTTACCAAATTCCTTGTACCATCAGGAGCAGCTAGATGGCACTGAATGTAAGAATTAAAGACCTGAACAGCATGTTGGGTAAAGAAACCCTTATGGAAATGTTTGTCATCTTGTACCAAAGTAAGCCAAGATTCCAGCAACTTATCATATGCTTCCATATATACCATGTCATCTTTATCAAGCTGTAAAGAGATGAAAGAAACAAAATAAAATCTTATTTCCTAAACTAAATCAGAGGAACATACTCATTCTCATTATTATTACTCATTATTATTTTACAGATGTCCTTCTAATTGTGAAACAATTAAAAAAGTAATCACAAAGCCTTTTCAAGGATAGTCATAAATAAATCAGAAAGAATTGAAGTAATGCATTAAAAAAAAAAAAATCAGTGCTGCTTTGTTAGGGTTTAAAAATCTGTTGGTGTTTAGTTTGTTTTTTTCTTCTACTGTTCAAAATCAAACTAGTCTTAAGTTAAGCCTTTAGTGCATGACTACCTAAATACAGGCACTACCAGGCTCCCTCTATGATGATTCCAAGCATCTCAGGTCATTTTAGAAACTACAAATAATTGAGCAATATCTGTTTAATTAATTAGATAAAAAGAACAAGTGCATATAGATTAATATTATTTCAAACATTGTGGAATACAAGAGAGAGAAGAGATTACAACTCTGTTATGAAAGAAATTGTTGTTATGACTGCATATGTTAAAGAAACCCCACTACAGGTAGTCCATTTTGATGAAACACAATGTCTCCTTTTGTGAAGGATAAAAAGAGAGTAGAATTCTATAGAATAAGCCCTGCACCTCCAATTGTTTAGTGCATTTTAACTGCTATTCATGTATGTTTACATGAGGCACTCAAATTGGCATAAGGAAATTCACATCTGGAAAACAAAACTCCTGGGTTACAGGCAAGCTAGAGAACCCAGATAGCAAAGGGATTGTTTCTTTTCAAAAGGACATTTAATACATTTCCCCCCACACACACTTTATGCAAAAATTAATCTTCAGTAAATACCAACTGCAAATAATTTAAATATGAACATACGGACACATTTGCTTGTACTGCAGGACGTTTCTTGCCTCTAAAAAGTCTTATCAACTTTTATCCAACAAGATTGCTCACAAATTACTCTGAGATAGCAAAGCTTACTAAAAGGATTTCTTGATGAAATACAGAGATCTAAAGGCCTCAGTCACGTTCCACACAGAAGAATTCCTGACTTTCAGAGAAGTTACAAACACGGCCGCATGAACAAAGAAAAAGAAAACACTGGCTGGATGACTGACTAAGGGAAAATACCACGTTGTAAGCATTTCAAGGTATCTTCACAGCATCCTTCTGTAACTGCAATGCAGTTATAGTTACAGAAACTAAAGTATGGCACACTGATGCAAGTCTGAAAACAAAAAAAATGGAGAGAGAGACCGAAACTGTATTCAGTGCTAACTTAAAGTAAATTTATGACTCACATAACATGTCTTATTTAAAATTTGGCTACATTCATTGAATCACCAAACATCTTGACTTGAATGTTTATAAAATGTACATACAATAAGAATCCAGAGCATAATGCAGTAAGCAATGTTCTTTTACTAGTGACAAAGCAATTCAATTTGAAAGGGCAATTATCACACAAAAATGATGTTAACAACTGATTATATTTTCCTAAGGAAGCCAGGACTAGTGAGTTCAGGACTCAAGATGTTTAGGAGAGGTGAGGTGCAACAAGTAAGGCCAATGCTTAAAATGTCTAGGATGGGAAAGGTGAACTCATACTTCTTCCCTTGTAGACTGCAGACCAATCCTGAGCATGGCTGAAGCTTGCTGTTCTCCAGCAGCAGAGCTGCTCAGGCAGGTGTTTCAACTTCCCTCAGCAGCCAGGTAAGCATAAAACAACATCTGAACATGATTTTTGGATTGTGTTTTCCTCTCTCTCCCCCCCTTGGTTGAATATCAATATTAGCAACAGCAGCAAGTACTGTCAGCAACAGCTTCTGACTCTGTGCCAAGACACATATTGCTTTGAAGTGGTTTGCAGATTACAGCTTGGGACCTCCTGATTTTGACAGTTTCAATAGCAGTCTTCTGGCTGAGCTGATCCCCTGTGTCTGATGGGGTTTCTGCAACATTTGTACAAGCTGTTCTGCTGGCAGAAATATGGGAAAAACAGCTTGTCCCACCAGCAAAACTTTGCTGTGTACACTTGCCTGTGTTATGCTGCATTTTAGAATTCTGACAAGCTGCAGGAATATTATCTCAGGATTCTACTGAGTCCAAAACACATGGTTTTCTATTTTTCACCAAGAACTCTCAATTGCACATAAGCTCACAGGGAATCTCAGCAAGAAGCTTAGGATAGAATATTGACCACAGCTTGGACTTTCCTAAGCTATAAGATTGCTTTCAGTGATGCAAACCAGATCCAGCAACATCCTTCTACAGTCAGAGCACACCATACCATTACACCATCTGTGTAAGTGAACAACAGCTTGAAATTCTCCACAGTGCACTTCGCTGCTGACACACTGTTCAGGTATAGGAATTATTTTTGAAGACCCAACACCACACAATTCTGTAATCATTCTGGAGATAAAGAAACAACATGACGTTTACATCTCAACTTCACATCTGTTACACCTATGATACAGTAAAGTGATGAATATGTAACCTTTCCTTTAAAGAGAGAATTTTTACTTCATGCTGTGGCAAAGTCCTGCACAGTCCTCTTTCTGATGTTGCTGGATCTGATAACACTGAATATAACACTGAAAAAATTGCCTTCAGCAAAAACAACGGGATGATACAAGTGTAGGCAGCCACTGCTCAGTAGGCATCAGTGGTCACAGCCATCTCCAAAACAAACTCTGTACCCACAATGGTACAAGCTGCCACAGGCTTCTGCTGGGACGAGAAGTATTGAGCTGGCAGCTTCCACCAAGCGCTGCTTTAGAGAAAAAACAAGGCTGCATAAAACAAGAGACTACCTGAGGAAATGTATATCCTCTAGCCCCCCTCATTTAAATGATAGCTATCTGTGGTTTTGCAGAACCTTTCTGTAAAGGTTCTAGGGCTTCCAGTCTAAATGAAAACTGGGCCAGAAGTATTGCATTTTAACCTTACGGCATAGTTCTCAAGCACTGCAAGCAATGCTAATATTAATACACCTGTGATTTTCAGTAAAGAAATGTGTCTGTCAACTTTATAATTAAATACTTCTGTAATAATTTTCCAACTCAATTATTAAGCCTGGTCAATATAGAGAACTCAAAAAAAGTAATTGTTAACGCTAACAGCAAAAAACTGGCTGCTACTGTGATAGTTTCATTTTAAAATAAATAACTACTCCATATAAGTAGTTCAGGTGCAACATTTGCCTTAATTCTTATGGGCTTTTTACAATCAATTCCATTCCCCTAGATGTTTTTATTTAATGCAGTTTCTGGAAGGACAAGACTTACCCCTAACCCAGCTGATCTTTAATGTTACAACCAAAGTCTGTAGAACAGCAGAAAGTCCTCTGAAGTACAGATATGTACATGGAATTACTGCTTGAGTCATGCCAGTAACACAGGGATTATTGGAGCTGCTCTCTGTATAGGGTTAACAACAGACCTTAACAGCTATATTCACTTCAAACAGAAGTTCCTGCCTGTAGAACCCCCACTGTGTAAATATCAGTCTGTCCATTTGCTCAGGTTGTCACTTCAAGCTTTTGTGTCTGTAACAAGTTCATTATCTACAACACTTCTCACAGAAGTCCTACAACAGCAACTGAGCAACATTTAAAGACTTTCCTACTTTTTCAGTGTACCTGTTATTTTAAAAATGAAGATATGAAGCAGTGCTTTAAATCCATAGTTTGAAAGATGCAGAGCATTACATTATGCAAAAGCAAAATTATCTCAGATGTGATTTCAGAAACAACTAGAACAAAAGCACTGAATTTCACAACACTTAATGACAAAAGAACCAAATTCTCACTCCTTATTACAAGGAGAGGGAAACAGAAAAGACTATTTGTTGAGAATGGATACTTACCACTTCTTCCAAGGCAGCGCTTCTTCCAAAAGAACAAGTGAGATGGGCGAGGCAGTTAACAAATGAAGAGAAAAGTTCATTTGGAATGGCAGTTAAAATATTGCGAGGAAATACAGTTATCAGGTTGCTGATAATACTGGAAATTCCAACTGCTTCAGAGTCTTCTATTTCAATTCTATAGATAGAAATAAGAGTTACTTTTCTGCCATTAAGAAAAATGCTAAAAGCCAATTGATTTCGCCGATTCCTTTCAAATGAATCCATCTATATAAGAAGTACCTACTTCCAGATGCAGTTTTTAAATTTCAGGAATCCAAAAGTAAAGACAGATTATACCTAGAAATAAGCAAGTCATAACAGTTCTCCACAAACACACACTGCGCTCTGAACTAAAGCTTAAAAGATGTCATCTAAATTTAGAGAGCAGGCATACATACCCATTGATAGTATTCAGTAATCCCTCAATGAAATGTGCCAGGTAATCAATTTGTGAACCTTCGTCAGGAAAGACTGAGCCATGCAGAGATGCCAGCTGTGCCAGACACTGTAATGAATCTTGGGCCATATCTGTATCTTCTCTGATTTTTCGGTGTACCTTTCAGGAAGTGAGATAGTTAGCAATACATGGAAAATAGGGAGTTCTTACAACAGTCACATGGCTCTCAATCCAAAAGAGCACGCACCAAAAAAAGCTTATTATAACTTCTATGATTCTATTCAGTCCGAAATGCAAGGGTTCCTACAGCTCTCTGAAGCACAGCCAATGACAAGACTGGGACTTGGTTTGCAAAGTCGCAAGCCTCCAATTAACTCGCTGAAACCAACGTTTAGTTAATCTTACCTACATTTTGAAAATTGAACTCAGTACCGAATGTTATATCTTAAAGAGAGAAACAGATGCCAGCCAGTCAGACATACTGCTCCTGCTAAAAACAGCAATAATGACAGTCATCTCTATTATGCTAACTATGCCTCGGCTACGGAGTCTTGCTAAAGTTAGTCAACAAGTTCAATCAAGATTATACAGATGCTTCTTTAGCAGAGGTAAACATTGAAGACAGACGAAAATGAATGCATCACTTCCTTGGCAACACCCTTACATTATACAAGGCCAAGTCATCTTCTCTCATTTCTGTGGCATGTTACATCACTACTTCTGCTGGTAAGATGCTCAAATCTGCCAATATTTCGGTGACCAAATTGTCACTACCTTACTTCAGTTATCAGCTATGGATTTTTTAGAGTTTTCTTAAGCTCACTCTTCCATGTTTTCACATAAGGTTTACTCAAAAAATGTAGGGTAGCTTCTTCCCCCCTTTCCCCCCCATACCAATTTATGTAAATTACAAATATCATGAAGTCTAGTTAAAACACTTCCCATTTGTGGTATTCCAGTTTCAGCTTCTCACAATTTGCAACTAGCTAACCTCTGCGAGATCAAACTGCCAGGTGAAACAAGCCCTAACGCAGAAATACCCCTTCTAACACGCATCCTACATTATGTTGAGATCAGAAGTGAAGGCTTCCTCTTTAACATGGCAGTCTTGCCAAGTTTTGCAAGGTTATTAAAATTTCTTAGATCAGATATATGCATATGAACAACCACCATTCACTCACAATACTTCAAATAGGAACCTAATACCAACAGCCTCAAGCATGGCAAATCAGGAATCTAAAACCAAAACTGACAGCACACTGCCCTGGCTAGCCTTCATTCAAAAATAATCAAACCCAGGTCTGCTATGGTTGCTATTAAATAAAATACAAATGCAATAAAACAATTCTGCATGTTATTTAAAACAAAATCCTTATCATAAGTACATACTGGTCTCCCAAACTAGCTAAAGAGAGATATTTAACTCAGACAGCTTTATATTATTAAACGAGGAAGGGTTAACATATAAGCCAAAAAGTTATTTGCATGTGGAGGTTCACAGCTGACAGTAGCAACTGTCTGGATAGCCTGGACAGCTGTTCCAATTGTGAGGAGCTGCTAAGAGTTCTGCCACTGATTTTTTTCACCTTTTTAGAACTGCTGGAACAGAAAAACTTAGTTAAAAAAAATTTCCAAAATGTCCCACCAAGTACGGACGTGTACCCAAACATGTATCAGACAACTCAAGCACCACAGGAGATTGCCATTTACTTCCTCTAGTAAAAGCTTTGCTCCCGCTTCGAACACACTGCTTCTCCACTTTGCAAGAACAAAGTAGCTTGAAAATGCTGAATTCTCAGGTCCTCAGAGATTTAACATAAAATAGCAGAGTAAGCTAACTCATAAGCCAATACATGCAGCAGCAGCAACTTTGAGTTGAACAAAGACTAACAACTTCTCCCCCAAAATGGGGGGAAGAAAGAACATTACTTATAAGAGTTCTATTATCAGACTTCTTTTTAAAGGATAGGAAGTGAATATGGCATTCCCTCTCCCTGCTTCACCTCTTCCCTTTCACTCCTAACAAAATCTCTTTTGATTTAGCATGCTTGGATTCACTTTGTACTGGGGTAAGAGATGCAGAATCCTGTATGCGGAACTGGCCAGAACAGTGCAATTACATTACTAATGTTCAGCTGCTCTGTTAAGCAATTGTTCTAATATCAGATAATAACCCCACACACACCCTCTTGATCCTTTTTCTCTTTTTTTTTCCTTTTTTTTTTTTTTGAGAGCTGTTACACCTTATCTGAAAGATATAATTTATCACCGCTTACAATGCCTGGTTTCATTTAGTATTGGAATCTATTTCCCAAAGCACTAAACATACAGCTTAGATAACTATATACTTCTTATTTAACAGTTATCAATTTAAGACAATTTATAGGCAAAACACATATCTGGTAACCTAAGAAAAACACAATAGTTCTGCTCACTTTGACAAATTGGCTGAAATGAAGGGAAACAGTCCTACCTGATGCAAAAGGAAGGATCCAACAACAAAGCTTTATAACAAGAAGGAGCTGCTTTCCCTGTGGTCTGGACTATGAAAGTTGAAGAATGAAACTTACTGTAAAGAAAAGCTCCATAACTCTGCTGTCCAGGAGGGTCTCACGCCAGGATTCTGTTGGCTTTAGCATCACATTTTGTGAGGATTCAAACATAGCTATATAATGTCTGCCCAGTTATCTGGTGTCAAGGTCAACAATAACATTCCTACTTGGCTTTAAAAAAATCCTAGATACAACAGGATCCATTCAGAAAGAATGTAATGGAAACAAACTTTAAGCCTCTTCACATACACAGCATAATTCATGCATGAGGCCAAGGAATAAAAGGTATTAAGTATTGAAAAAAAGAATGCTCCAGGAATGTTAGATAACAGTTTGATCATAATTATGAGACATACCATAGTGATATGATCACTTTGATAACCAGGGTGTCTAATGTGACACAGCGAGAAGGGAAAAAAGCAACCGCAATTAACAGGTGGTAAAATTTATGCAAAATGGGAAATCATTTCCTAAAAAATTTTCCTGGCAGCTTTTAAAAAGGCCTTACGAGAGCTAAAGATAGCCCACTGAAATCCATATCCCATTTTTCTAAATAGCCAAATATGCATCCCAGAACGCAGATATGTTAGCCTTGCATTAATCGACATTTTTCATCACGCTGTGAAGAACAAAAGCATAAGGCACCACAAGGTACTGCCACAGCAAACATATGCTTGCTTGAGACCCATATAAAAGTGTCCACTCCGCAGTGAAGCTACGACTTTGCTGCACTCCTTCCAGCTATTACCATACGTTCTGGCATCATTTAGCTTTTAGGAAATTCTGCCAGTGCTCCAGAAAAAAAAAAATAACAGAGACATGAGCAAAACCACTTGAACAAGCATGTGGCATTCTTTGTCAGTCTGATCACAGAGAAGCATTTATCAAAGGGTTTTGAAAGTCCTTCCTTCTGACACCCTTCAATCCAAAGAGCAGAAGTTTAACACACGAGTTATGTTTTCATTTGTCTTTTGAAAGCCCTTCGCTGCTCCCTCTGATCCCTTTGTAAGCCAACATCAGAAAAAGTGCAGCATGCTCAACTGCATATAACTGGTCCTGAACACGTCTGCAGTGTGAAGTCATCAGGCGTTACAAAAAATAATTTTATCAAAATGTATTTATACCTCTGAATGAAAATACATTTTTACAAATAGTACCACACAGGAAAGAAAGCAGGCCCCTGGCAATCTGATGAGCTTTAAGAGAACATACATAAAGCAAGCATCTAGTTTCAGACAAAGCACTGTGATGCAAGGCAGAAGGCACAATTTTAGGTCCTCCGTGTTCTACCAGTCCATGAGCTCCCAACAACCACAGAGCACTTCCAAAAACAGCCACTTTTTCCATGGCACAGCACACTGCAATGCAGGAGAACAATCATGGATTTTCATTAGCACAAAAACCAAAAACAAGACATCTTCACAATTTTCAATACTATCAACGTGTGTTGAACAATAACAGATCTGCATTATTTCATTTCAAGCAGAGTAAAAAAAAACATAACAATAATAAAAAATCAGAGTTGGCTATTTTACTTCCATCTGAAATAGAAATGTCATGTAGGGATTCAGAAGTGCTTCAGTTCTTCCAGATAAAAATAAAATTTATCATGTGCATCCTCTGTCAGGAGTAATATCACAAGTCAAAACTAATTTAATCAACTCTGGCACTTTAAATCATCTTTTTTTTTCCCCCTTCCCCTTCCCCTATTTGGAATATTCTTGAAAAAACACTTCAACAGTCTTTATTTACAAGACCGTCCTTTGCCTTAACGCTGCAGTGTAAGACTGACATCAGCACCAAAAGGTTATTGATTGATTATCAGTCTGAAAATCAACTTGCTCATCACTTGTTTGTGCTCACAGAGGGGACCAGCTACATACCACTTTTGACGTGGAATGGAAGAAGGGCCGATTTGCTGTCGGTATTTTAACAAGCCTCAGTATTTAGTGGCCCTTTCCTGTTATTTTTAGTTCCGTTTCTCATGCTAATGGACTGATGACACATCTGACAATAGTAATCTGTGGGTAAACTATCTGTTCATTAAACAACACAAATTATACCTGCACCCATTACCAAGATTTTACATCTATTTTCTGCTCCACACTTGGTGAATGCAAACACGACCACAAGCTGGGTGTGGAGATGCTTTCTACCACGAAATACCAAAACTTCAGCCCTATTAACAGCAGCCCAGATGTGTCAAACCTGAAAAAAATGGCACTGAATTACCTAGCACATGGCATGGTTGTGGTGAGAAGTGTCACCTTCATCAAGAAAATGCATTAACACGTACCAAGCTCTACTGAAAAGAGTAGCAATGTAACTAGATGCCTTCCAGCACGATACACCTCTGATGTTTCTCGATTAGAGCCTATAGAAGAAGAGGAGATGCCAGTGTTCAAGAAGGAGGTTCTTCTGTCTTTGATGAAATTCACATATGTAGCCATTAGCGTTACATTTGGGCTTTGTTTCACAAACACGAGAAAAAAGAAAAACATGTTTTAAAATGCTAAGTTTAACTTACAGTTAATATAAAAAACTTCTATATGTTTCTTGTTGGAACACAGTAACAGAAAGAAAAGGTAAAAAAACCTGTAATTTTCTTCACAGTCTTTGCCTCGCTTCCAGGAGGAGACTGATGAGTGATTGTGAATAACAAAATATTTCACATCCATGGCCATGGAGAATCATAGTATTTCAAGATGTCCAAAAATTCTAACATTTGCAAATGGTTCCCAAAGTTTCAGGTTCTTTTTTTCCCCACTGTGAGAGGCGAGGCAAGGCAAGGCTTGTCCTGGCACCATGAAAGAGTTTAGGAACTCAAAACCCGAGGCTAAGTATTCTGACAGACTCCAATTCACAAATTTGTCCACAGTAGTGAAAAACTCAGAAATGGAAGAAAAACCCACGGAATGGCAACGACTGATTATTTTTTTTTTCTTAAGTTATTTTAATTGCTTAACCTTTGTTGTCTGGAAAATTTCTGGAGAGCTTTATATCAGTCTTTGACTTACACCTCACAATAAAAATGCACTAGAAAGGTAACTGCTTGATATCCACCACACACTGTTAGAATGCTAATATACTGCTTGTATTTGTATTTTTTAAACTTCCCCTTGCTTGCTAGCCAGTCAGCCAAGCATATAGGATGAATTAAGAGCAAGTTGAAAAAGACATGCAGAGGCTTGCTGCCCCCTATGGAGAATACCTTCACAAATCTGCATGTAATTCACACTCTTAGGAAACAGATTCAGCATTCATGAGAAAGAAAGAGTGTTTTAGCATTCAGTTGTTAAAATACAAGTATTGCTATCAGTGGAACAACTATCTGATATGGGAAGCACCAGATTCAGATTGCATCTACAGAACAACAACCTAAGAGGCACAGGAAGCCCTCAGCTAACTTTAAAACCAGTCACTTCTTGCTGGTGGTGTAGCCATGCCTACATGAAGTCTCAAGTGGACCACCAAGGGGATTTGCAGCTCACACTGAAACTTGTTATCCCTACTAACATTCGCTACAACGATACAGCTCCACATCTCTCTTATGCTTAAACCACCGATGCAGAAGGGACTGCTATGGAGACGCCCACCCTTCCTCTACACACTGCTTACCAACCAAAAAGCTGACGAACTTCTAAGCAGTAGAGATATCCAAGTTAATTTTCACTTCAGAGAGATGAAACTGATAAATGTAAAAGACAGATCTCTCTTTTGCTCTTTCTTCAACACAGCTGTTTTAGTTATACTGAATTTTACTTCCTATTCCAAACAGCCAGGACAGTATTTTCATCTACCAGATAAAAACTGTATTAAATGTTGGATGATCCCAGGCTGCCAGCAAACAAGACAGCACTGCTGCTGAAGGAAACCCACATTGCCTCTCCTCAGCACAGGCTCATTTCTGCCACTGTTCAACAAATCAAAGTCAGGGCCTCACCCTGGTAGAAGGAAGTATTTAACCACCCTGCTCAGTGACACACTCATGGGAGGCACTGGAACAGGATGCTTTTTCAGCAGCAAAGCCAACTCAAATAATTCCTCAAAACAAATCTGGAGGCTTTTTTTTTTTTCTTTTTAGCATTCTGTGTGTTTTTCACACACTTCCATTATGCATAGCAGATGCTACCAATCAAGGTTGGACTAACTCCAAGTCTTCAACTTCAACTATATTGTTCACAGGATCTCCCAGAGAGAGATCTCTCATTCTGGCTTGAGATATTTTCACAGAGATTTGAAGAGCTTGTTCCTCTAAAAGCATGGCTGAGGAACACATACTGAAAACAGAGTTCAGATCAGACAAAAGCTTCAGTCAGTTCATACAATTGTTGCACCATTCATTTTCATGGAATGTCAGTGATGCGCATTACTGGAGCACTTCCCATAGGTTTATGTAACCTGTATTTTAAATTCAATTCCCAATTCTACATTCACTTGAAAACTTGCCAGCTTGCCTCCAAGCAAGAAGAGGCACCAAATCGAAGAACTAAAGCTGAAGTTCCTCTCTGTTCATGTACTATTAGCACCTTTACAAAAAACCTGTGCCTTTATGAATGAAATAATGCACAAACAGTTTTGTAACAGGTACCAAACATCCTCATTTAGATGAGAGATTGCAGGACAAAAGGTTATGTTTTGATAAAGAACTCCTATATTCGAGGGCATCTGTCCAAAGTCCATTAGAACATGGCTGCCGAGAGCAGATATATCCTAAAGAAGTGAGAAACTCTCTAGGGGCAAAAGAATATAAACTATAATTATGTCCTGAATCCATAGGAGAAGTTATATGCCCATGTCAAAATGCATTAGAGCCTACCAACACACACCTCCCTAACTGGATGGACACTCAATGCAACGTATTAAGAGAGGGGTCCTTGAAGGCACTCTACCTCTTAGTACCCATCACTTGCACATCCTTAACCAATTAGAACACTTATTTAAGAAAAGATGCAGTTAAAACAAGTTCCATCCAAGCAAACAATATTAAACAAACGGTGCTGTGCTGTGACAACAGTGAAAAAAGAAACCCTACAGAAGCCAACATGCCACAACTGCCACACGCTCTCGGTGCAAAACAGGAATTCTATGCTATTGTCTTTTCCAAGAGTACTGCCAAAAGCCTCAAACATCTGCAAATACCAGTGAACCAATACCACAAGGTAACAGATGAAAGCAACAAGAGATGATTGCCTATGTGTTAGAAAATGAAATTGAAGCAATTGCACATGACTGAAGGCCTCCTGGGTCACTGTGTCCTGCCTGCAGCAGGCACTGCACTCTATGACACTCAAAAATGTTCCAGCTTAGGAGTAGGTATGTCCCAGCCTCTCTTCTTTCACTGCTCTAAGAAGGTGAGTATTCCAGAATGCAAGTACCAGCTTTTCTCGCTGGTAACTGACAGCTCACATTCACTAAGGCTCTTCTGTTATAGTAGCTGGCAGCATTGCCTAAGACTACATTTAACAATGCAAGATACACTGAGTGATCCTGAGTGACAGCACTTCTCAGTTTTTTTTATTCCCTCCCCTTGGAGATACCAGAATTGTGCAAGAGGTTACAAAGAGACACCACTATGCTGCAGGGAATACTGAGAATCGTTATTATCTTGCCAAAGGAATATGAACCAGAGGAAAAAAAAGTTATATATGTGGACACAATGGGTCACTTTACTCCATGCTTTAGGTATTATATTTATGCCCATTGCTTTGGCGTGTGTGCTGTCAAGATTTGGAAAGAGGATACCAACTGATCAATCAATGCAGCAATTCTTATGTTCTTGTGTAATGTGCTATCTATTTAGGAATTGCAGCCAAGTTAAACTTCACTGCCGAGAGCCAACAATCAACAGCAACTTTTTAAACCAGTCTTTGTAAGGGAGATCCACACCACTACAAGCTACAGCCACCTTAACAGCTACCAAGTCTTACTTAAGACCCACTTTTCTCAGAGACGATTAAAGCTATACCAAATTCTGTGAAAACAGTTCGCTAAATAGAGGAGGGAGACCAAAATCAGTGCAGTAATTTTACAGCAAATTGAAATGCCCAGTGGTAGAAAGCTGTAAGATAGGACAGAAGTTACGAAAAGATTAGACATAAAGCCACATAAGAGCACTTGTGGTGGTACAGCACCAGAACCCAGCCTCCAGAAGTGGCCAGAATTTGTTTAACAGCAGCAGTATCTTTTGAAAACCACAACTCCAAGGCTTGACTAAATTGTTACTGACATCTTGCTTGTATATCTAGTTCCACCACTGCAAAACTCAAGGTTATGACTGAGCACTCCTGAAAAGAAACCTAGAGCTTTTCCTTCCAAACTGTAACATCATCAGTACTCATGACTGCATCAGATGTTTCCACTGAGCAAGACTATAAAACAGAAGAAACTACCTCCAAACACCACTGCACAATACAAGGGCATTTCCTATCTATTTAAAATGACTGCTTTAAAAACAGAAGTGTCCACACATTATTGGAATTCTTACAAGTCCCAAACCCTCTCCTAAAAACTTTTGTAAATGTAATCATTTCACTCTAATCTCAGTTTCATAAGCATGTGCAATAAATTACTCTCTGGTCCCCTGCCAAATCATTCCATCCATGATATTTTCCAGAAAGACAATATTAACTGGCACTCTCCTTTATTAAAGAAGAATAAGTACATTTTAAATAAATTTCACTTTTGCTGTTCATCACATAATGAACAGATTCAAAGACAACAGACACAGATGCTGCCTTCTGATTGTCAAATGAGAGAAGAGAAATAAAATGCTATGCAGAAGATTCGAAGGCAACATAAGATTCCTGCAGTACGTGCAACTTCGTTGAATTTATTCAGAAGGTTTTAAGAAGTTTATAAAGGAGCTTAAAAGTTTGGGTGTTGGTAAGTCTGCTGAGCATCTGCAAGATGAGGCAGCAGCTATCAAAAGAGGTGTCAATGCTGTATGCCAAGTGATGCCTTACCTTTATGTTTCTACTATATTCTTCTAGCCCGTTTTTCAGGCCAAGCATTTCCACTCTTCTTCCTTCTTTCACTAAGGCTCACTCTCTGATTATTATATTCCTATTTCCTTTCCATCTCTACATTTCCCCTGAACTTTCTTAATGAACACACACCACAAAGATACGAAAGTGGAATAAACTGCACCAGTGTGTTGGCAAAAAAATACATATTTCCTCCCAGCAAAAGAGAAGAAATGGAATCTGTTGGGCATGCACGTTCCTAAATTGGGCACTTAACTGCCCCACTCCAAATTAAACACAGCTGAGATCTCTTCCCTGTTTTGTCCTGCAGTAAGGCAGAGGGTTGCGCTTTCCCTCTCCTTCACAGCAACAACAGACACACCAAATGGACCATCAGCTCAGAACTGAGAGCTGCTCTTGAACTACTTTTGTCTTTTGTATAAAATACTTTAATGAAAAGTAACAGTAGTTCCTATATGTAAGCGTGTTTTAAGCAAGCACAGGGATCACCAAGAGTATTAATGGAAGAAAACATGCTGCTTATAAAATTTACATTTTTCTCTTCTCACAAAGACTTATCACCCGTTAGAACATGACCCAACTCATCTGAAATGAAGGGCCTGAGGCAAAAAGGATATAATTCGGAGGAAGGAAGTTCCAGCTTAAGACCTGATTGGCTAGTGCAAGATAACGCTGAAACACTGAAGACATCTGAGCATTGAGGTTTTCACGTCTGCTGAATTCCTGAAGTACCTCTACTGTGAGCATGAAGATCTGCCGCAGATCGTCCTCCTACAGTTGGGATGGACACAATATGTTAGAGTCTCTCAGTCTGTTCTGTTCCCACCCTATTTTTCATTGAAAAATAGATAATAACCCAAAGTTGACAGTCAGAACCCCAACTTATTTGCCAAAATTAATGCAACATGTCTGTAAATAACAAAAAAAGAAAAATATTATCATAAGTACTAGTTTTAGAAGAAAAACTTAACAATATCTCTAACAATTGGTGAAGGAGGGGTTGATCTTTGACACAAAAAAGTTGGTAAATTATTCCACAACAGTCAGAGTTTAAAGCGATGCCTTCACAAAAACATTTCTGCCTGGCCAAACAATACATGTGAGACAACCAGACTACACCATCTGCAATAATATTTTTAAATACATAGCTCTCCTTGGCTTTAAACCAAATCTATATTTAAGACTATCATTGTTCCACAGAGTGTTCGTTTTGTTTGCAATTGGTAGCCAAGGAATTAAAGAGTCCAACCATGTAAAGATCTGTAGCTCTACATTGACAAAACAGGCAAAAAGGGATGGCACTTTTTGACACAATTATCAATTTTTCCAAAGTAGCCAATATCTGTATTTATAATACAGAGTAATCCAATTAAATGCAATCAAACATGCACTGTAGATGAATGCCCCAGGGGCAAGAAAATACTTCCGCTTTTTAACATTTAAATTTTAGAAATATAGGTAGCATATATTGATACAGAAGTACTTTACCTGAAATATACGTTTACAGTTACCATGGAACTCCATGCTTAGTCCAATGTTGCTGGTTTTACTTGAACTTGAGAACTCGCTCAACAACGCCGTTAAAATGGAACAGGCCAAAGTTTGCTATAAAGAAAATAAAGTGAAGTAATTTAACTAAAAGATGTCCAATAATTTAACACCATTTACAGTCTTTCAGTCTGTTTGTTAGCATATTCCTGTGGCTATTACTTCAATTTTTCATAAGACAAAGCACAGTAACTCAAGCTTTCAGGTGTACAGACACTAGGGTGAGCCATCTCTGGGATCATCCAAGTTCCATCCTTAAAAAAGAGATTCAAGAATTTGAGCAGCATAAAAAAAAACAACTAAGCACCTGTGCAACCATCATTACAAAATGAAAGCAAATGTAATCAATTTGCCAGCCTATTTATTTTCTCCCACTGTACACACAGCTTTACAGATTCAAGGAAGATTCAGCTTCCTGTATTTTCTATCCAATAGTTCATTGTAAACTTTGTTGTGGCCCTCCCTTGCATTTGCTACACTTACTAAGTTGATACATGATCATCATTAAATTTACACCACAGAAAGTGAAACAACCTACTCAAAAACAGAACCTGCAGTACATCATTTACTACAGCTCTCCCATCAAAAAAGGGAGGAATACACAGAATGCTCCAATAATTGAAAGCTTTTCCAAGCTTCCCTCCAAAGAACAAGCTCCACAAGCCTCAGGAAGAACCTTTAGAGCTACTCCTTTAGAATGATGTCCCCAGAGCAGTATAAAAGTGAGTAAGGAAAAGACATGTTAATTTTAGAGAAACAGATCCACGGAGAAAGGAATCTAAGTATCTTCTTCACTCTGAAAATTTAAGGTAAATCGAATGCTTATTCTAAAACACAACTTAAAAGCTATCCTTCCTTTATGAAACACATTGCTCCAGCCACAGTTGCTGCTTTTTTGAAATAAAAAAGCTTTTTTTTTCCCTGATATCGAAGTTCAGCAACCATCATCACTAGTTTGAATGTATTTCTGTAACTGTTCACTACACACAAAGGAAAGTAAATAACATAGTGAGGATACAACAAGTACTTTAGAAGTGTGCCATGTGCTACCATAACAAGCACCACGGAAACTTATACTGATGAAATGAAAACACTTTTTGTTAAATAGATGTTCTTAACAAAAAATTTCCGTATTAATGGCTATACTCCTAGACTGTTTGGAGCCAAGGTGCCAGGGATGGACAGAGGGATAGGAATTGTTAAAGGGTCATGCATGCCAGCAAGTGTCCAGGGGTTAAACAGAAATATGCACACTACCTCTGAACACCCGAAAGATTAAAGTGGAGATGATACTATTTATGCAAGCTCATACAACAGCTGAGACCAGTGCCATCCACCCACCAACTGCAACATCTTTGTTCAGAAATGCCTCTGAAGTCAGTACCTTGACCCCCCCAGACAACTAGTTATCTTAGCTAGTATACACTAAATTAACATTCTTACTGGCTAAATAAATCCCAGACAGATCAAACATAGCAGCTTCCTGATACTAGACGGCTGTTCTTTTCTGCTGCATAATAAAGCTGTACATTGGGCCAGCATGTTGTTAATCAGTTGCTAAATCCACATTTTCCCATTTTAAAGAAATTTCAAGTGGATTATTTCTCATCTACTTGCTCATGACAAAAGCAACAGTTATTCAGTGAAAAGCATCACACTTCAATCTGGTCCAGCAAAAGTGCAATTCTCTCAGTCCTATACAAGATGTAAGATACTTCTAACTAGCTCAAACATTTCAGTAGTTTCTTTCCAAATTTCTGTGTAAGCTATTTCATTATTTCACTATTTCTGTGTAAGTAATTAACACAAATGCTAGGTTTGAGTTGATGTAAAAATTAACGTCTAATCTCTAACTAAAGGCTAACACTGACTTTCAAGTTCAATATTTGAAGTTCCATATGGAAAGAATTAATCTGTAGGGAAAAAAAAACACCACTGACCCAACCCCACAAAAATACCCGAAGTTTGGCTCTAGAACAATGCTTCAGATAAGAATACATGTTTTTAGAGAAATAATCCCAAGTTGCCAGAGAACACTGCCCAATTTCAATCTGCACCAGGAGTTGCAGAAGCCTCACGAGGCACCCTAAATACTTCAATACAGACTTCACTTTATGCTTCAATTACAAACACGCGGATACTTTTCAGCTCTGAAAAGTACTGATGCAAGGCCATCATTAGTTGTAATCACAGATCTGCATGGTTTGGGTACTCCAAGATTACTACATGATGTTTGTGACTGCAATGGTACAACAGCTCTGGACAAAGCTGAGACCCATCTGGTCAATAGCACAGACACCCTCACGGCAAGCTGCCGCTATGAGAGCACAGCACAGGCAGAGCAGTGGTGCAGACCCTATGGCTAGCTGCCAATTGCTGGAAAAAATCACTGAGCTGGAATTAGAGGTAAGGAGCAAATAGCAAGCTGAAGTGGACATTTTCTCCTATTGCTTTCTCTGATTTGTTTATATGGCATAAAGCCACATATCTGCTCTGTTCAGACAGTAACATGCTATAGCACGGAAAAAAATTGTGTCCTGGATGTTTTTACTCTGCTTTTCTCCTGATCTCAAAGAGAAATTTAAAATGAAAGACAAATGTTATGACTGATGGTGAAAGCTCTTCAAAGATACAGAGAGCAGCAGATGCAGCTAGGCCTGAGGGAGTCTGCCATGGGCCCGAAGAAAAAGCTACAGCAGCAACACTGACTTCAGCAACAGCTACTTCAGGTAGATCAGATACTACTCCAAGCACAGGGAAGAAAAGCCTCAGATTATCATCATAGAATGGCTTGTGTTGGAAATGATCTTAAAGCCCACCCAGATCCAGCGTGCTGCCGTGTGTTCAGCGCTGCCCCCCACCAGCTGAGGCTGCCCAGGGCCCCATCCAACCTGGCTCCGAGTGCCTTCAGGGATGGGGCACACAAAGCTCCTGAGCAGCCTGTGCCTCACTGCCCTCTGAGTAAAGAATTTCCTCCTAATATCTAACCTAAATCTCCTCCCTTTTAGTTTAAAGCCATTCCCCCTTGTGCTATCATTATCTCCCTACACAAAAAGACAGCCTTCTTCCTGTTTACTGTGTTACCGCAGGTCTGTGCTCTTTATTCCTTCCAGCATCCCAGCTCATAGCAAACACCACACACTGCATCCCTCTATCCTCCCTTCCTCCTTCCCCAAATCCTGCATTCCCAGACTCCTGCCAACACCTTCACCTTGGTACGTTCATTCCTGGAATCCTGCCTCGTTCCCCCCTCATCCCAAGGCCTCCGCAGGCTCCGTGTGCCCTTCTGTTGCCATCTGCACATGCCAATTGCTTCTCTGAGGATGTGGAAATGTGCCCCGATAGCCACGCTATCATTACAACAGAAGGCCAAAGGAAAGATCTCCACTCCAAACTTAAGCTCTATGGCAGCAGCAGGCAGAGGAGATTGCTGGATGCTGGTTTTCCAACAGGCAGATGTGAACCTCCCAGAGCTCAGTTTGAAGGCAAAGTATAGGAGCTGCCCCTCATCTGCAGCCTGCCTGGGCAATTCATAGCATGTACACAGAGCTGCACACAAAACAACCCCAAAACTCCCATAAAACTGTCATAAGATGATATTAATTAACATAAACTGCTATGCATAGCAGCAAGACTGCAATTTTTATAAGAATATTGAAAGACAAACTAATTAAAAGAATGTGTGTCTTGCCATCCATTAAACTCTCCTGAAAGCACAGAAACATACTTCAGATCTTCTGCAACAAAGCTTCTTCAAACTTTGCTGAAACTTTATTTTATGAAAAAAAGTTTTACTTTCATAAAACTTCACTTTATGAAGACTAATTCCACTACAGGTTAGTAAGTAAAATTTTGAAATACAGTTTTTGAATTTACATGCATGTTTGGTACGAAGACACACAGCCTATCAACACAAATACAGTCTGTGGTACTAGAAGAAATACTTAAAATATCTGAAAAGCAACATTATCTCGTGTAAATACTAAACTGTTCTGCACTGTGAAATTCAATTACTCCCTCTAACATAATACATTTGAACAAACTTATAAGTTGTTGGTTTTTTTTTAAATTAATACTTCACATATGCTTTCTGCCATGCCACAGAACAGATGACAATAATACCACACAGTAACAAGTACAAAATGCGCATGATGCTGGGCATCCTATTTAAAGTCAGATCTGAATGTCTGTTGCCCAGAAAGGCCATTAACTTCACTCCAGTACGAGTATACCTCCAAACCTAGCTTGACTCACTTGCTAGCAATTGCACTAGTTCTGTCACAAGTACATACCCAAACAATAACCCCATCTAACAAAATAAAATACCTCTCTTGTTGAGAGCCTCTGAGAATAGCTTGGCACTCACCCCAGTTAGCTTTATTACCAGAAATAAACTTTATGAAAGATCGCTATACATAAAATAGACTCTCAGCTGCTCAAACAGAAGATCAATGGGACTTGAGATAAGAGATTAACTTGGCAATCAGACACCCAGTAGTGACATCGTTTTAGTGATTTTCTTTTTAAACTGCTCTCATAAAACACAGACGCTACAGAAGGGCCACACACCATTTGAACAGTAATCTTTTATGCATAATTCATAAAACTCAGATGCCATAAGAAAATGCAACTTATTCCTCCAAATGGAATGTCCCCTACAACAAAAGCTAAAGCCATAATGTTTGAAGGGATTTCACACTTGTGCCTGGACTGCCAATGGAATAAATGAACTGCTTCATTGGAGTAGTTAGGTTACAAAGCATCTGAAAGAAAGAAGAGTTCAAATGTGGCTTAGGAAAAAATGGACATGTGGTACACCAGCTCCAAGGCAGAAAAGTCAACTGACAAAGCAGAACAAACTACACCACTTAAAATGTTTTCTCTGTTCTGAAATTCTGAGCAGAGAATCAGCTAGCTCATCACAGACTTCATTTGATTGTTCATTCCACTATGAAAACCTGAAATATCAGGCAATCCACAAACTCGCATACTCTGCAATGTCACTGACACCCACAGAAAAAGTAGTTTTAAAAGACTGAAGATCTCAATTGCACAGA